AGAGGAGCTGGAATTCGGCAAGCACAAGAAAGGAAAGCTGGACTAAATGGTCCTGCTCGGATAGCTGCCGACTGCCGCCACTGCTAACCACAAATCACAGAGCATGAAATTAGTGCTAACAACGACGAAAACTGATAAACAACAGAAAGGATACCGGTTGCGAATATGAACGGTGTAGTGAGGTTAACCAGAAACTCAAAGCTTCTGGCATACCATGGTTGTTGTCGTGATTTGAATCCAAAGTATTCGATTGTTGTTTCACACGTGGGATTTCCTGTGTTTGGAGAAAACGCCTGAAGCAGAAACAATAGCCACAGTCTAGCCAGAAAACACCGAATCAGCTGGTTAATCCCATTACACAACGGGGCCGTAAAATCCTCGATGTGCGACAAACTAAAGGCAAAGGTATGCGGTGCAATACGAGGATTGGAAACTACTGAGTGTGCCGGGAAGAAAAAAGCCATTTTTCACCCATCTAGAACAAGTTTATAAGCAGGGTCACATTTATTGGGACAGTTGAAAACTGGTACTATTAACGAAGTCCGTCACAAGAAACTTCGAAAGGCGCGTGCGTCACATCTATTAGGCATCAGGTAACAGACAGTCATCACCATGAATGCTCAATGATTTTTACGAGGAATTACTTCATGCGGAAGACCAAAAATGAACGAACACTCTACATGGTTACTAGATTGTCCTTTTTGTTTTTTCATATAAAGACTTCCAAGTACAAATACGATTTGCTCAATTGGAACACAATCATTATTGCCCAAAATCGTATGCCTGAAAAGTCAGTATACTTCAGTCGTTTACTGACGGTACTCCATCGTCCTCAGTCGGTTAAGGCAGTCTTTTCGAAGTCGAAACTTTTCCCAAGCAGTTGTTCTCAAAAAAATGACAAGTGAAACGGGTGATGAACGAAAAACAAACTTTGGTTATATTACACTGCTTCTAGTGGTCAGTTAATCCACAGATGACATTTATTCGCACCCAGGTTGATATGACTCGAGTGGGTCTGTCAAAAACCACTTGAAATAGCACAGGACAAAACGACGCGCCAATTAGCTCTCCGACGCCTCCAAGTTGATTGGAAATCAATTTTCGTAGGTAATAACAGAATCCGACATAGTGTATGAGGCACAACAATAATCTAAAAATGCTAATTCGAGTTTCGACACACGCGCCGCAGACCCCATCAAAATGTGCTACTGATTGCAAGCTGGGACATACGCCGAATGCGGACAGACAGAGGACGAAGCACAACTGATGGTGGAGCCGATCTGTCCTTTTCACGCTAAGCGGGTAGGAGTAAAGTACCGTCTGGCATGGAAAAAGAAGTCAATCTTTAGTGTAGAATGAAAATTAAGCAAAGGAAGGCGGGGAGCTTATGAACAGACCGAACGAGTTTGTGGAACTGAGTGGAGTGGCATCAAATGTGACAGGGGGAACCCAAAGATAGGCAGTTTTACCAGTGATCTTTATGCCGAATACGGTCGAATGTTTTGGAAATTTTAGGCGGGGCAATGTGGGTCATCTTTGTGTGTGTCAAGTGAAACTGGCCAACGGTGAGAGACTAGGGTGTCGGATCGTCTGAGCAGTTAGATATGAAGAAGTAGTTCATGTTCGTCATGTAAACGGAACTCGTCGGTAAGGATGGGTTCCATTGCTTTCGGAATAACACGGGTGAGGGAACGGGGCGGCAATTAATTGAAAGTTGAAAATTAGAGAATTCATGAAGGTCAAAGTTGCAAGAACATTGAGTAGATGCACGAGTGTCACTGTTTGCGAAATTCAACCATATCACTCAGTGGGCCTGACCATCCGGTACGCTGATACCGATGTCACCCTTCAGAAAACTGAACGCGACCCATGTGAGCTCATTTCCTGGCAGGTGTTTTCATATCCTCAAACCAGGTCTTGGTTGAAGCACCCTTCACTCTGGTCCACCCAACATTTGCTTCGGAAAACATCGCGCACCGTGGTAGCCTACCTAATGGCATGAGTAACACGTGCCTAAAAACGAAGTATGGAAGTCATTCACTTACTCCGATAGGCGTCCGTGATTACCAAAAACTCTTAGTCTGATTTAGGTATTGCCCGTTTGGTTTCTCCAAACGACTCGTGCAATGCCCTGTAGAGGACGGTGTTCGAACATCAACAGTCTATCTTTGCCCTGTACGTTTAGTAGCTAAGCGGGTTTTTATGACAACTGTGTGATGAACAGCAGACGGAAACACAGTCACGAGAAACTGTTGTTCAGTTAAGAAAACGGGAAACCTAAGCCACGGAACTTCGAGTGGTGAACCACATAAAAATGCGCCAAGTTAGACGCGGTATCGAACCGAATGACAACGCCGTAAAGCAGCACCGGTCGAACTTCTGTGGCATACACGTAACCCTTCACAGACGGCCGGATATCGCGAAGGCTACAGTGAATGGCAACCCAGCCTTCAGGAGGCGTGCTAACACTTCATCCGTGATGCGTCCGCCGGGTGAGATGTAGCTGCCCAAGTGGCAAATTTTTTTCGTTACCTCTTGCTTCCCCAGTTTGAGTGAGGTTGAGAGCTGGACCAACAAAGTCTCATGTAACACTTTGAAAGTGCATTCGCATACCGGACATGGCCACATTAACGATTAAAATATTCAAAAAAGCTTGCGATTAACCTGGGTCGCCACGTTTTGAAAGAAACCCGCAACATGATCGTTTTACGAGCACCCTAATGATCAGCAAGACCAAAGTGGGGAAGTGACTATGTCCCTAAACAACATCCAGGAAAGACACATGAGCCTTCCTCGCGGCAGACCATCAACGTATAAACCTTCAATTGAGGTTGCACGTCAGATTCACAATCGACTGACGCAATGCGGGCGACTGAAAAAAAACATAAGCATTCTGGGAGATGACCCAAGATTTAACAGTGCTCCAAGGGATATTCGGAAAAGGACTAGGTGAATGAGGTTAAGAAAAACAAGTCGACATAGACCAGTTAACATGATGACGTTGAGAAAGAGAGCAGTCGAAGTAAACGATTGATAACAGGCAAAAATACAAGAGTCATGAACCGAAAGCAGGAGCTTCTGAAACCGAGATCAGGAACAAAACACGTCAACTACAGAATGATGCAGACAGAATGAGTCCTTGACAGACCAATCATAAAGAACCAAGTACACTCACCGATTACACCGATCAATCGCTTCCCCGCGGAGCTCATGACGAGATCAAAATAATCATTCAGCACAATGTCTTGAACACAGGTCAAATTGCGAATGATCATTGTGAGTGAATATTCCGTGTTGCCAAAATACGCCGAATCTCGATTGACAAAGTCAATCGCCTCCAAAGCAACTGTGTGTGAGAGAGAGACAAAGAAAGAAACAAGAAAGTGGGTGAAATAAACGCTGTCGTTAAGCGTGTCATGTGACATGTCGTGCAAGCAGGAAAAAAACAGTCAGGCTATGTCCTGGTAAAATCCATGCCAGTTCGAAGAGTCAGTGATTTACGTTAACTATCAAGTGTCACGAGCATCGGATCCAACACATCAAAGATTTCATAAACAAGCAGGAAGACTGGCAAGTGAAGCCTTGTTTGACTTAGATTTGGGCACGGGTTAGGGCAAAACCGAAATCACCTTCGCTGTTACCGTCCGTGTCAATGCGATTCCATAAGATGTGTTAACTTTCATAGTAGAGCCGCTACACGGGTTGGTAAACTACAAGTAGGAAAATCTACCGCAGGAAGAGGAGAACCATGGATAAATTAAAAGTCCAAGTGATATTCGATTTCACAACTCCGATTGCCTGGAAAACAATCAAACACTGCAAATTCTGATGGAAGGAACGAAAAATAAAACAATTTACTAATTACAAAAGACCTCAAACGGAGTGATCATCATCCGGATTTTACAGAGATTGAAATGGTCAATTGTTGTGTTTTACTCCGCTTATATCTGTTGCCTACCATTAGGTCGCACAGCACTATATCCCAGGTGAATACCACAAGTGCCAAGAACACAAGATATAGCATAGTAACAGTATTATCACACGGGAAATGAGAACAGCGGACTAACACCAAGTTTGTGAGCGGATGATAGTTCTAGGAGCGGACGCTACCTAGGCGAAACACAGGACGCACGATCGGCTATCGCTCTCTCAGGCCTCCCAAAAACACGAGAGAGAAGACACGGCTTCAGCAGCACGGGATTCTAATGGCGTTGAGCACAAATCACAAATCACGAGTCAATGTACAAATTTTACTCTGCTGCTTATATGTGACTGAAAATAACATTCACCGATGCAAGAAAACGAATGTACCAATGAAATACACAGTGAGCAATTTTCAATCGGCCATAGGCTATGGAACAGACCGGCGAAGAGAGTGAATATTGCCATACGACGCAATACTATTGATTTATCTCCGCGAGATTAGTATTGATCAGCGATGACCCTAATTTGGGTCGAATGTGTTGTAAAATTGTTTGATTTCGTTCACAGAATTAGCAAGTGTGCAGCCGGGCTTATCGTGGGACGAATGGCATTGATCTTCGTCCCAACACCAGATATCTGTCAATCAAACACTTCACTTTCAATCAACCCTGGCGGAGGCTGGTGTGCACTTGGCTTGTGTGACAAGCATGTGCGCACACGCACAACTGGGCCAAGTATCAGCCGTAAACGTTATTCGGAACAACCTGAAAGGAAAATTTCAGCCTCGTGACATGGAGATCTGACTAGCTGGCGTAGATGTCATGAGGATCGGTGGTAGGAGAATATATCAAGTGACGCGAATTTTATCTTGATGGCAAAGTTATGCCAATGGGAAGTTCCGTGAAAGCGGAGACAAAAACAAATCAAGAGTTTCAGCGAGTCTATCAACAGAAAAACGAATGACAATAGGAGAACAGGTGACTCTAGCAAAACTAATTCCATTTTGGTGATTAAGAATGAACTCTGTGCGAGGGTGGAATGGGGAATCCGTGGTTCTCTACTAAAAGTCGCGTAGTTATGAGTGAAGGGTAGGTTGTTGTGATGGTACGGTTCTATCATTCGTACTAAAAAGTAAAAATCAGACAGAGCAATCCGGACAGTGGTATTCTTTTTCTTTGAATGACTGAGTGCGGCTAATTATCATAACACTACGATGGTAAATTCTAAGGCTTACTTTGATCCAAATTGGGAATAACCCACTTCCCATAGAAGGTGAACAGTCCGGCTACAGTAAGATTCTGCTTTTCATCCCAGCCGGTCGCCCACTCCTGCCACCGACTACGATGCAAACGAACCCATCGGCAAGCAAGGTCATAGTAGCCGGATGTCAGCTCCTGATTTGGCACACGGTTCAAGTCCAAAGCCTGAGTTGCATGTGACACGAAAAAACCAGGTGGAAAAAATCGATTATTCACAAAATTGAATACATCAAAGTAGTACGGTGTACGAATGAAGTGTGTAAATTTGTGTTTCAGGTTCAGTTTAGACAACCAATTGCCATGCACTTTCGACCAGAGGTTTTCTTCACTGTATACTTCCGTTATCCTATTAAACGAGGGACCAGAAGGAAGATTTGCATGGTAAAAGCACTGACAATGTGCAGATAGAGAATTCCCGTTGGCTAAGGCATCAAGGATATTGAGTAGATGTATGAGCATCACCAGTTTCAATACAGTTATATAATTTAATGTATCTCACAATCAATTGCAGCAATCTCGAGGTATGTCTATTCAAGTGTCCTGATGCGAACGAGTCAAACGACCAGTGTCTTCAAAAGCCCATGTTTGTCATACGGGAGCACATCGAAGTCGGTATCTTCGTGTGACAACAGAGCTTTTTCTAGAATAATGTCCATTAAAAAGTTGAACAGGAAAGAGAGAGGACTACCCCGACGAGCACCACGTTCCACGACTAAAAATAGCTGCAGCTCTAGTTATTAGTCTAAAAGAATGGTAATGCACACTTCTGGCACACCAATAAAGGAGAAACAGTGATAGCGGACCCATGTGTCAAGGAAGGTAAAAATTCGTGTACAAACTGGATGTATGAGATATTACAAAGAAACCGTGTGAACATCACGTGCTCTTATCATAAACGAACTACAGATATTATTTGAATGCACGATCAGCTGATAGTTGCGCGTGGTATGGAATGTCGATTCAGATATATATATATATATATATATATATGTATAGTGTGTTTTCGATTTTCACGCCGGGTCGCTGGTGATTTGTAGCTTATCTCCGTTGGTAGCAGTAACCTAAGGTAGAATAGAGCTGTCTATCTTTTCGACAACCCTAATCTACTACTACAGTCATT